ATGTTTCCCTCTCTTCTCTCACACAGAGTGTTGACAAAAGACAATTAAACGCAGCTTGCCTACAGTATTGATCATGTCTCCCTGATAGGCAGAGCAGAACCACAGCACCTGTATTCATTAAACAACCTGTTTAGCAACCATGCGGCGGAAGGAGAAGTCAGGCTCTGTTTGTGAAAAGAAGGCCGAGAAACACCTTCAAGATTTGCTCGGAAACTTTTCAATAGAGCGTGACACGAGGAGGGAACAGGAAGGAAAGGAAGGGCAGCGCATGACCTTCTGTTGGGGGAGAAGAGAAAAAAAAAAAAAGGGAAGTGTGTGCATGTGAGTGTTAAAGCAGAACCATAACCAAAAACCAACAAATGTTAAGTTGAATGTGTTTACTGGAATAATAATTGGAATGAGACAGAGGTTATTTGTTGCTTTATTGCTTCATAAACACTTGCTCACTTTTGAGGCCTGAGAGTGAAATGTTAACAAGTTTGACTTGTCCCTGTGAAATTAAGAAATGCTTTGGCAAGTCAAATGATTCAATGAATATTAAACAGACGCAGCAATTTGAGGCCTAATTTGTTTTGATAGACTTGTTTTATTTTGGGAGAACGAATAGATTGCTTTAACCTATACCGTACCTACTTTACATTCCGTGGAAGGGCCTCTCTCTGCTTTCGTTCACCCTTCAGTGGTAACTCTTCATTCTAAAAACCTCAGTGAAAATAGGTCATTTTCCAGCAGACAGACTATAAATGTGCCCATAAAGTGTCAGGGGATTTAAAATGCAATGTTATAGACCCACTTAAGCTGTTACGTATGTCCCCAACATTCATGTACCGATGTAATTTAGCACTATAATTACCAGCGACGCTCACAGACACTCAAACCTCTGCAGTATTTTGAAGGCCATACATTATGTTCTATAAACTTCAAGGAGTAGAAAAAGAAATCATGCGCAGAATTTAGAAATGCCGAAACGTCCGCACGTACTTCAAAGCTGCAAAAAAAATTGCTATTTATATTCCTTAGGCTGCAGAAATGGGTCATCAATGGAAAAGCTCAAAGATTCTGGTTAAAGCGCCGGTCTACATTTCTGATGACTTCGACCCCACGCTGAATCGCTGGGCACGGAGTCAGACTGCGAAAAGAAGCAGCAGCATGATCCTAGCTGTCCTTATTTAATTCCCACATCTATGGAGTGAGTATATGAATGGGAGCTCAATAAAGGTTTAAGTACTAAAGCTCTGACATGAGGGAACAGCTCAGCGCCTGCTGTCCTGCCCAGTATTATCTATCAGCTGTGACCTTGACCCGACGCTACACCTGAGCACATCTCCGAGGACCGCGCACTGCAAAGCGGACTGGAAGGAAGGTGGTTTTCATACGGCATCCAGTGACCTGTTTGTAGTTAAAAAAGTATTGCGGACTGACTTTTGGGGCAAGTCTGGTAGAAACTGAACTCTGGCAAAAAGGGTCAGAGAGGTGCTTGAAATAGTCGGTGGGGGCAGGTGGCAGTTTGGACTTGAGAAGTTTTCCAAGGGACAAGCAGACTTAGAGACATGTGTGTGTGTTACCTAAGTTAAAGGGTGAAAGTCCAGCATATGAACAGTGTCATGTAAGGGCAATTCAGCCAAATTCATCGTCCGCTCTCTGACTCATTGACGCTGATTCCACTGCTCCTCTCTGCTGCTCTGAGCTCGTGCTCCGTTAAACTGCACTGAGCTCATTTTATTCATGATGCTATGTGTACAAGCTGAGTTTTTTCAACATTTTTTGCCTTATTTTGAACAACAGCGACATGCAAAGTGTGTCTTTTTCCTTTTATTATCTAAATTCAGTGCTTTCGTGGTGTCCCAAAGCATCGTCTTTTTTCATACCATGGTATGTTTGCCACTTTCAGCGGGTTGTTTCAGAAGGGAGAGGTGAGCCAACAGTAATGCACTGTTGACCAGTCAGTAATAAACCCACCATTAGTCCCTGTTGCTCCACGCCTATTGTCTATGCTCTTTTGTACTGGGAGAGGAGCTGTAGCAGGCAGCCCTTTACATTCTGGTTGTCTTTACTTACTGTCACAATTAACAGAGATCACCTCCAAGAGATCGCAGTAAGTCACAGGATGTTCTTCATAACAACACACTGCAGAAGCCCAGCAGTGATACTTAACCCGTGATGCAAGTAAATAAAAAAACATAGCTGCATCAGTGGAATCTGTGTGAAAAATAGCTGTGTTTTAAAAAACATGTACACTTTCACACATTTGGCCAACCACCAGTCTGAAACTGAAAATGTGCGTGATAGTATGTAGAGCTCCAGTTACTATTCAACAACCACGTTTAAAGAAAAGTGCTTTAACCACCACACGCTCACACTTTGTCCGTACGGTTGTCACCAAAATATTGTTCAAGAAAACGAGTTGTGAAAATGCGTAAGTGAGGGAAAAAAAATCACCCGTGGCATGTTTGTCAGCTTGTCAGAATCTGTCACTCGAGACTTGATTGGTCAGTTCTTGCAAGAGGCGGGTTACAAACATTTCGCTTATACTACAATGTTCTAACGTTTCACATGAGTCAGTGTAACCAGCTAACAGGAGTTAGAAATAGCAAACAGAGGGTCATTTTCAGTTAGTCACGGATCAGGAGATCTGCAGCATTAAGTAATCCCTGGAAGAGCCCGCAGTGTCCGTTTTGTAGTTCATCTTGTGCCCGTGGTTGCTCTTCCTACTGCTTCCTGTGGACAAGGTGTATTATTAATGGCCCTTTAATTTGTGCGCTCAAGACAACGTGGGGGCATGAGGACAAATATGGGTTTATGGATTTATAGGTATGCGGTTGAGCAGCATTGTCAGTGAGTCATATCTCAATTGAGGAGTCATGATGAGGTTGCCATCTGGGATGTGACTGTGTATTGTTTCTAAGTGGGGCAGAACGGCTTCCATGTTGGTCACTGGATCTATACATGCAACAGTTTACTCAGAAGTTGGTTTATGCTTTGCTAAAGTTATCTTAATATACTTGAGCCTAGGTCTCATTAAAAGACACACAACTCCTTCTCGATAATTAGCGTGGCTAATTCAGTCAAAAATAGAAGCCTTTGATGTCTATAATTATTCATTGTCCTCTCGGGATAATTGTACAATTTACTCGATTGATGGTGCACCAGGTATGTGCAGGAGAGGCAATGAGTAACTGCGTGGAACAAAATATTAACTGAACCAAGTCAAGCGTATTCAAAGCTGTTTGTGGTGCCACGGAACAGAGGAAATACATATTTTGGACGAAACAGATGCCGTATATCACGCTGGAAAGTAGATTCCTTCAGACTTTGTGGGTCAGAATATAAGTCACACGTTTCCTGTGGCGTTCATCGCACACCTTAGACAGTTGAGACGCACCGTGATGAAACAGTAATTATTTGTTAAGAAATCAGGCCGGTGTGTAACAGCCATAGATTATCTCTATAGTTAAGATAGTACTGCATTTGTGTTATCTTTGCCGACGTACACAAAAAAAAGACAATTAACGTCTGAATAGCGTCAACAGCAAAGACGCTTTACATTCTGGACGTGCTGTGGCATTCAGGACTTTACAGATCCCGAACAAAGACGTTCTTTTAGGCGTCCAAAAGCTCTATTTGCCTTTGACCACCCCCTGTATTGACACATGCTGACAGGGTTTCAGGAATGTCCCAATAGGTGTCTCAGACAGCACCTCCCACGTGTCTCTCTTATCACTCCCCCCCTCCACCCCGACCTGCTTTTAGAGTATGCTTTGCTATCTAGATGACATACACTAAAAACACTGTGGAACACACTTTGTTTTGTCACATTATTATCAGAGCCGTATGTACACATGCCTCGAATACTTTCGGGAATATGGATTGCGTAAATTGGCACACCTGGCTCGTGTTTCTTCTCTTATCTTCGCAAAGTGTGATGGAGTTAAAGGCGTATTGCTGACCAGAAAGGAAAATGATCTTGTCATTCTTTTACAGCATCCATGAGGGTCATCAGCTGTGATTGAAGGGAAAAGAACACACTATCTAACGCCCCGGTAATAAAAGGTAATTTAGTTATGTCCAGTTAGAAAGATTTCACCCAAAGGTGCCATGAATATTATTTCCGTTTCAATAATGTGACCACCCATCCCATAACATAAGTGTGCTTTTGATTTGCAGTCGTTTGGTCAGCAGCATATAGAAGTGAACCCCACAGCAGACGGACTGAATCCAGCAAAGTTCCAACAGCTTATAAAGATGTGAGAATAAATAGCAGCAAAATTCAGCACCATGTGTGAGTCAGATCAGTCTTTCTACCCTTTTTTTTTTAACCAAGTACAATGTTTGAAGACCTGCAGAATTACTACACAAATTTTCCATCTGACTACTCATCGGTGCTTACGGCGCGCTCAAGTGAACTCGAACAGCAAAACTGCCCGCGTTTCACAGCCACTCAAAATCTTCGCCAGCATCCCCCTTACCAAGTGCAACTTTTACACCGCCGCAGTGGCTTTGTCATATTTGTTTCCTGCTGTCTTAACTCAGCTATTCAGACATTTGCATGTGAGTTTACTTTGGGCTCAGTGCCTTTTACGACTTAACAACACTCAACCCCGACCTCACCTATCACTATTTACTGAAACTGTGCCAGTTGCCGTCGTTACAGTAAAAGCATTTCTACACCGCAGTCGGCCCAGCCCCCTTTTTATGTCCGACTGTCCCACGGTGTTCTTTCTTCTCTCGCCGCTGAGGTTACCTGGCTAGGTGGAGGAGACAAGAAGAGGTGGGGAGGCGGGGAGCGAATGCATAAAAACCCCCCCCGTGCTCTGTTTTGAGAACAACACAAGAGGACCGCCACCACCTCTGTGCTGGCAATTAAAGAGTCGCATAAGCTGAGTTTCCAGTGAACGGCTTCACAACAGTTACTGCTCATCATTCATTCTTCAACTCATCAAAGAAAGAAAGAGTATTAGCGACGGGAGAGCGGCTGAAAGGCTGCCGTTAAGGGATCAGCCATGCTTGGAGGCATCCGCACAGATTTGCTGGTCACAGTCGCTCTGCTCGCTCTGACTCAGACGGGAACTCGGTGCAGGTGGGTTTCGAGATAATTCAACTTTCAAATGTCAAATTTTAGCTGATCTGTTCTTTGAAATGCTGCTACGCTGCTCGTGTTAGTTACATTAAGGAGGAAATACATTTCTATTTGTGTTGAAGTTTTTTAAGACTATTTAAGGTTTTTTTTAATACCTTAAAAAATCTGTTTTTCTACTACAGGGCTGAAAATGACTTTTCATTAGTTACGTTGCCAGAGGAGAGACCAACATCAAGTAAGAAGTATTACAATCACAAGGACCTGTAAAAAAAAAAAATTGCTAAAACTGCTTATAGTAAAGATTTAAAGGACAGAGAGACATACATGCTGTAGGACATAACACTAACTAACCCCTTTGTTTGCTTTAGAATATGTTACACAGTGTTACTACGGCAGAGACAACAGGCAGATTTGCAACTGGAGGAGTCATCAAATAAGACAAGGTAACAGAGGGTTCCCACAATAGTAGGTCAAAGTAGATACAATTCATTTAATATGATGTTTCAAATCAAAGCTGCATATGTTCTTTTTTTGTTTTTGGTTATTTTTTCCACTCTGAGTTCACTTTAACACTGAGAGATACCTTCAATAAACTAACCTTTGAAACACTGGCTCTGTTGTAATCTACAGACAGTGCATGTATCCGTGTGCCGCTGCATTATCACTGATTAATCCGAAGCCGGCTAAGATATTTTTTTATAACCCATTTTCTCCCCGGAGCAATCACACAAGAGAGCCAACACTCGAGGTTCAAACTCCGAACAAAACAAGCAGATATTAGCATTTGCATCTATTGATCGTCTAAAAGCTGCACCACAGTGGATGTACGTCTTGTTTTATGCTTTGTGGCTAAATTCATGGATATACTGTAAAAAGCTAATTCAGTGATTCAAAAAGAACGGAAGTGGCCAAGTCACTGAATTTATGTAACAGAGCATGGTCACTTTCTATGGCGACACAGAAAGCATCTAGTATGTCACATTTTGTTGTCTTTGTCTGCTCCAGAGGATGCTGTGCTGGATGTTTTAGAGAGTCCTCCTCTGGGGGTTGAGGGCAATGCCTGTTTAGAGTTCTGGTACCTCGCCCCAGTGACACCGAAAGGGTCTGAACTCCGTGTTCTGCTAAAAAGCAGCACTGGTCAGGCAGAATTTTGGGCCTCTCCTGCCGTCCCACAAGACGCGTGGAGACAAGTGCTTGTGCCTCTGAATATCATTGAACCAGGGACTCAGGTAAAACGGCACACATTTCCTACACATTGAACTGTATCGTACGTTCGACAGCGTGTCCTAAAATAGATGAACTTCTTTCACATCAGGTTGTGTTTGAAGAAGTTCGTGCACAGACTTCAGAGGAAACGATCCTATTTAGACAAATGCGTGTGAGAAGAGGCTCTTGTGGTGAGTATTGACCACTTTAAACTTCTTTTACTATCTCGAGAACAACCTACTTTTAGTCCTATCAGTGGATGAAAAATAATACTGTACTCAGGTATACATAGCGTTACTGATGTTTGTGCAAAAAAAACATCATAAAAAGTGAAGATAAAAGATCTCGTACAACATCAGTAAACCAGTATAAATGTTTTTGTCTTTTAATTCAATTAAAAAAAAACAGGAATCCATTGTAAGTATCACCAATGTGAAAAATAGATTGAATACTTGGCATTGTTCAGGAAATGTGTCAAAGTGCATATAGCAATAACACAGAACATAATTCATTAATGTTTCTAATCAGTTGTGCCTCGCCAGATGGTGTTGTGGTTGTAAAGTGATTGTTTACTTGGTCACACCCCCACAGGACACCAGTGTGAATCTAACACAGAGCTATGGACAGACGAGTTCACTCGCTGCCTCTGTTCTGCGGGCCAGCTCCTCTGCGTTCCCTCTCAGTGCCCTAAGGGCCAAATCTGTGGTCCTGAAACACCGAGCTCCAATGGGACTTCCACTTCTGGGATATGCACCATACACAGACACACAGACTGCAGCACTTTTGATGGAGTGTTGTTCCGCTTCATGGCCCCCTGCGCCTATGTACTGGCTAAGACCTGCTCACCCACTGAAGCCCTGCCCGAGTTCAGTGTGGAAGTGGTCAATGAGCAGAACGGCAACCTGTCTCTGCCAACTGTCCAGCAGATCATTGTGAACATGAGGAACATCAGAGTGTCCCTGCAGAAAGGGCAGACACAAAGGGTTGTGGTAAGTTACT